GAGGTGACTCGGTTGAAGCAGCGGCGGCGCACACTCAAGAACCGCGGCTACGCAGCTAGCTGCCGTATCAAGCGTGTGACCCAGAAGGAGGAGCTGGAGCGGCAGCGTGTAGAGTTGCAACAGGAAGTAGAGAAGCTGGCCCGGGAGAACAGCAGCATGCGACTGGAGCTGGATGCCTTGCGCTCCAAGTACGAGGCCCTGCAGACCTTTGCACGCACCGTGGCCCGGGGGCCTGTCACACCAACCAAGGTGGCCACCACCAGTGTCATCACCATCGTCAAATCTGCAGAGCTTTCCTCCACCTCTGTGCCATTTTCAGCTGCCTCCTAGTGCCTGCCGGGGCCGGGCAGGGCGTGGGCAGTGGCATAGCCCTCACACCTCTCCCGGGCTCCCTGGTACAGATTCCTCATGTCCACTTGCCCACTGTGGACCCTGTGGGGCTGAGGGCAAGGAGAGCAGGGACAGGCGGATGCAGGATAAAAGGGAGGCTCTCATGAGCCAGTGCTACAAGCAACCCCCACTCACATCTCTCCATCCCCCAGGGGTGTGGTTTTCGTTGCCGATAGGAGCCACATGGGCCACTGGTGTGAACAATTCCAGGCCCCTGTGGGAGGGAGTGAGAACTTGTCTTCCACTTCTCTGGTGCCTGCCTGTCAGCGCCATCAGTGCCATCCCCTAAGGGCCTCCAGCTGGGGTGGATACCATACTGTCACTTTCTGGGCTCTGGCCTTGTCCTTATCAAAGGGCGCTACTACCTGCTTTAGCCCTTAGAGCCGAGTCCACGCCCTGGGAAACAGTTCCCAGTTTAGCTTCCTGCAGAGGCTACTTCATGTGTTCCTGTGTGTACACAGGCTGTCATGGCAGCCTGTGTGAAGACAGGAAGCCATTGGGCCAGGTGGCCACACAGGAGAGCCTGTCCAGTATGTGTAAGTGAGGGTTACATGGATGTCCTGGAATGTCCCTGGGGGTCTGTTAGTTAAAGTTGCCCATTGTGGTGCAGGGGCCATCTGTCCATAGAGCCAGCAAACAGCAGGGCCCAGGTTCTCTAGAGCTTAGCAGAGAGGAGAGGCTGGAGGGGAGCCGGTGAAGCCTGAGAGATGTTGAGGGATACAGAAATGGCTGTTAAGATGTGTCTTGTTGCTGGGGAAAAAAACAAAACAAAATAGGAATAAGGTGAAGTCAGGGTGAAGTCCTGGCGGCCCAGGGGATGTGGAAGAGGCCTAAGAGGCATAGATAGTATGGAGGGACAAAGGGTGCATCTGTAGGGCCTTGTGGACACCCCCTGTGGGTGTCAGCAGGGGCCCAGGGCAGACTATATGTGCAGATACTCTACAACTTTGGTGCCCAATTGTTACCTGCCTATTCCTCCTTCATATCGTTCTGGGCCATTGGCCATCTTGTGCTTTCTTACTGAAGGGATTATGTCCTCCAGACTCAGAGGAGTATGGTGGACAGGGAGTTGGGGGCAGGCTGAGCCAAAGCCAGGCACTTAGGAAGCACTGTTGGAACCATTGCCTTGGTAGGTAATCCATATTGGATATCAATAAGGACCATGGGATATTTAAAGAGAGAGAAGATATATATATATATAAAATTATATACACATTTTATCGTACAGATTTTTTCATAACGATTTTCTTTCCCAGTTTGATACTGTAGATCTTTTATTAATGCAGAGTAGGTTGGACAGTGAGGTGGGGAACTGGCCATGGATGGAGGCCCAGAGTGCCAACAGCCTCCCTCAGTCTTTCTGTGGTTGCGTTGGGCATGCTTGGGTCACTGGTGAAGCTTGTTCCAGCAGGTATCACACTGAATGCGTGGTCTCCAGGGTAGTCTCCAGTGGTAGGCAGGTGACCCCTGGCTGTGGGTTGTTGCCCACTGCAGGCCTGTGGTGGTCTCCATCGAGGAGACTCCATACTGTTGGCCTACAGGCTGGATGGGACTTTCAATGCCACCTGGAGCGCCTGTGCAGGGTACCTGCCTGAAAGGGGCTGGGAAGGGTGTGAGCGTGCCCCGTGGCTCTTTGTTACTGAAATTTCATCGTCACAATTTAATATATGGAGTTTTTATTTAAGATAAAAGTGAGTTTTCTGTCTTGTTCCTCTGACTTCTCAAAGCAAGCTTTACTTTTTCAAAAGGTGGCAGGGACGCATGCTGACCACGCGGAGGCCTGGTGTCCCCAGCCACCTACTCCTTGGCAGTTTCATTTCAATATTTATTTTTGTGCTTCCTCCCTCATGTTATAAATTATTGAGAAGAGATCACAGACTGTTGACCCCCTGTCTGTGCCCTGCCTCATGGCCACCACCTAATTTATTGCTGTACATGTCGCTGTGACTGCTTTTGTATCTTTGCAATAAAGAATTTCCTGTTTGAGATGCTTTCCGGTGTGTGGATGGTGATGTGGTTGGGAACCCCGTGTCCTGCCCTACAGCCTGGGCTGGCCCTTCCCTGAGGCCTAGCCTTCTACTCTGCTCACCTGGGTGTTCTCCCCAGGCCGTCTTCTGAGATACAGTGACTAAGTAGCACAAGGTGACACCTTCCACCTGCACTCCTGGCTCACCAGCACATATGTCTGAATGTCCAGGCTAGAACAACTTGTGCTTCATAGTTGGGAACCTCTGGGACCTGAACCCCCCTTTCTCATGGGGTGGGCCATATCGGCTGCTTGGCCTCAGCCCCTGAGCAATGATAGACGGGGTCTAGGATGGACATGCATTGCAAGAGGGGCAGGGCCTAAGTAAGGCCCAGAGCAATGTTCCAGTTCGCTGAAGCTAATGAAATGCTCTCAGAAGTCTGACTAGAGCTCGGGATAGCTCCGTTGACTTGTTGAAGTGCTTGCCTTGCAAGCATGAGAACCTGGGTTCAATCCCTCGAAACCACACAGAATAGCCAGGTGCATATTTGTAATCTCAGTGTTAGGGAGGCAGAGACAAGTAGACCTCTGGGGCTTGGCCGGCTGGCCTAGCCCGTTTGGTGATTTTTCAAGACAGAAACAGTCTCTAGCTAGGCCAGATTACTTCTCTACAGCTGACCCCTGAATCTTCTGGTCTTCCTGTCCCTGAGTGGTAACCAACCTCTGGGCAGAGACTATAAAAGGTCCACTCACGTGGCACACCCATACTAGGTCCGCTCCAGGGCCCTCAGCACAGTGTAGACCACTTTGGGCCACCTCACACATGGGGACCAGAGGTCAGGACAGGTTCAAAAATGGCAGGAGCCCTTCATGGTGGTTCATGCCTATAAATCACTGTGGTTAGGAGGATGAGGTGGTGGGATCATTCCAAGTCCAGGGGTAGCCTTGGCTACATAAGAGGTTGAGGTTAGCCTTGTCTACACAGTGAGTTCCAGGCCAGCCTAACCTACAAAGACCCTGTGTCAAGGAGTGGGGCTAGTGTGATGGCTTAGTATAGTGCCTGCCGTGTAAACTTAAGACCTGAATTCAGATCCCCAACACCAACATAAAAAACTGTCACATAGCCGGGCAGTGGTAGCACATGCCTTTAATCCCAGCACTCGGGAGGCAGAGGCAGGCAAATCTCTGAGTTTGAGGCCAGCCTGGTCTACGAACTCTCCGAGTTTGAAGTCAGCCTGGTCTACGAAGCAAGTTCCAGGACAGCCATAGCTGTTACACAGAGAAACCCTGTCTTGATAAACCAAACCAAAGCAAAACAAAACAAAAAACCCACAAAATAAAACAAACAAACAAAAAAAACACCTGTTAGATGTGTGTACCCTGTCCCAAAAATTAATGTGCAAAATAACCAAGGAAGACACCCAGAATTGACCTCTGACCATACAAATGTACACAGACATGTACACACACATGAAATAGCAGAAGGTTGTGCCAGGATCAGCACAGCTACTGCCTGGCAAGCTGTCCCTCCTTGGGCCCCATGGGCCAGACATGCAATTGGTCCTTTCACCAGAGGCCATGAGACCAAAACACCCCTCTTCCCCTGGTATTCCAATGACTCCCCATTATTCTTTGAGCACCTTGGCCTGGTCAGATCCTTCTGAGTCAGTCCGCAGCCACATTTCACCAGAGCCCTGGGTGCCATGTTATCCCTGGTCCAATTTTGCTTGGTGTCAGGTTGGACTGAGGCATGTCTGAATGGGGGTGGAGGGGGAGAGGGAAGCAAGGCACAGTGACCCCTACTGGTAGCATTCCCTACTGGCTCAGTAACTGCAGGCAACTTGTTCAATTTCTTTGGTTGGCACACCTTCCCCAGGATCAGGGTACAGATGTTCCTGGTGCATGTGTGGATATTTAGTGATATCAATTTTGTCTTCTCTCTAAAGTGCAGACCCCAGATACCGGTAGCCCAAGGCCTTGGAACTTACTTTGTGTCTGAGCTCCTGGGAGGCGGACCTTTCCTAGCTTGTCACTGCATATGGCCTCTCCAGGGCAAAGGAAAGCAGCCCCCTGCTGGCCGAGCCCTAAGACTCCTCAGGCCAGCGCTGAGCCTCTAGAGTGTAGGTCTCTCAGAGTATTGAGCCTCTCTCAGTTCTGCTGACTGTGAGGGCTGCGAGGGTGTGTGTGTGGAGGGGTAGGGGGGGCAGGGGCACCCTGTGGGCCTGCCTGTCCCAGAAGGCAGATAAGTAGGTGTGGGTGGCTTTTTACAGTCAGGTGCAGGGAGGAACAGAGTCTATCTTATCAACCCAGAAGGGCCAGGGAGAGGCCACTGGCCTTGACTCCTCCTGTCTCTGGGCCCCGAGAACAAGAAGGCAGGGAAGTGCACCCGCCTTGTCTGATACTGTGGGCTCTGGGAGCTGGTAACTGGGCAAAGTGATGCTGTTCCTGGGTGGTTTCCACCAGGCATTTCTGTCTGGTTGCTTGCCTGGACAGCTGGTCACTGACTCCCTCCTCCTGCTACCTTTGTCCTTTGTGTTTCCAAAGCCAGTCTAGCCTATCCCAGACTCCCTGAGCACTGAACTGGGTCCACAGGAAGAGGAAAGACAGAAGGGGGCTCCCAGGCCCGAGTCCCTGTACTCAGGCATGCTAGGCTGTGCCACAAGTTTTATTAAACACTTTAGGGTTGGGCCAACCTGAGGTTCAAAGGGAGGTGACTGTCCCAACTTCTGTTGTGGAACAGAGCTGGTCATCTGGGGACAAGGTCCACACCCTTTGCCCTATACTGCTCTGAGCCACATCGTGGCTCACACCTTGGCTGTTTCTGACACCCAGCCTCGCTCCATAGGCCCCAGTGAACCCACTACTTAGTGATCCATCACTCAGAAGACAAGCCCCACATGAAAAGAAAGCCCAACAAACTCTAAAAAATGCAAGGAGTTTATCTATAAATAAGCAGTCAGTAGCTGGCAGGCTGGCGCACTGGCAACCCTGTTGTGCTGAATAGGCTAGGCTGCCCCTGGGAGGGCTTCGCCGAGTATCTGTGTTAGAACGCAGGACAAGGGGCCTTCTTCATACATCTAAGATAGACACAGCCAGGCCGAGGCTATGCGGCTCCCCAGGCCTGAGTGACTGGGCCCATTCTCTCTGGCCATCTCTCTCTGCAGTGACACAGCCTGGGATCTAACCATGTGCTTCTTCCGCCCCTGGAAGAAAGGGCCAACTCATAGTTCCACCTGCAGGCTGTAACTAAGACATCTCACTGGGTCCTTAGGTTTGTTCAACTTGCCCAGGTGACTTCACTCTGGGCGATATATGGAATAGAAAGGCCCTATGTGCCCCACAGTGAGCTCTCAGGAGAGGCTGGGCCTCTGTCAAAAGAAATGCTGATGGTCCCCAGCTAGGCTCCACACACCCCATGTCCCTACAGGTCCTCTGACGGAATCAGCATGCGTTTCTCTATGTTGCGACTCTTCTTACCCCCTCCGGAGCCGCTGGCTGGGCCAGGGTGGGTGCTGGATGATGGGTGCCCACCCTGGCCAGGCCCAGGAGCTTCGTGTGTGGACTGCTGTGTATACTGCTGGTATGCTGGTGAGAAGTTATGGATGGCATCCTGGACGATATCCTGTGGGCTGATGGTCTCCTTTAAGCCACTGGATATACTCTGCATAGGTGCTGGTGGGGCTGGAAGGTAGAACATGTGGGCCTGAATCACAGGTCCTCTGGTCCACAGCTCCCCACTTCATTAACCCAGTCCCTCAGCCCTGTCTCACCTTGGGCTATCTGGGTCTGAGGATCCAGCATATCCAGGCCTTGCCTTTGGCTAGTAGGTGACCTTAGATACTCAATACTTTGACACTCAAGACCCAGCTCAACCCCTGCATCCATCCATCTATCTATCTGTCTGTCTGTCTTTCTTTCTTTCATTTTTTTTGTTGTTGTTGTTGTTTTGTTTTGTTTTTTGTTTTTTTGAGACAGGGTTTCTCTGTGTAACAGTCCTAGTTTTCCTGGAACTAGCTCTTGTAGCCCAGGCTGTCCTCTAACTCACAGAGATCCACCTGCCTCTGCCTCCTGAGTGCTGGGGTTAAAGGTGTTAGCTCCTGCATCTTAGCCTTGGTCGTGGGCTATCCAGGGAAAGCCCTTCACCTTGAGTGGGCAGGAGCCATGCAGCCACCAGCCATGTGGTCAGTACGGCACACTCACTAGGCCAGCCAACCCAGCCACTTTTGACACCCTTCACAAGCACCAAGTATTAAGAGAGTAGCTTCTGGGGCTGGAGAGATGGCTCAGAGGTTAAGAGCACTGACTGCTCTTCTAGAGGTCCTGAGTTCAATTCCCAGCAACCACATGGTGGCTCACAGCCATCTGTAATGAGATCTGGTGCCCTCTTCTGGCCAGCAAGCATACAGACAAAACACTGTATACATAATAAATAAATAAAGTCTTTAAAAAAAAAATGAGAGAGTAGCTTCCTCTGTCCGCATCTTTCAGAGCTCATAATCTCCCCTTGCCTGCCTGGCTAAGACCCCTACAGGGATGGGCATCATGGCTGAGCCATTGCAGGTGCCCCTCGTTGGTGGGGCCCAGCTTACCTGGCGAGTTCTTCTTCTTCTAAGTACACCTGAGTGGCTAAGACACCATCATGGCTGAGCCATTGCAGGTGCCCCTCATTGGTGGGGCCCAGCTTACCTGGCGAGTTCTTCTTCTCTGAGTACACCAGGCTGGGAAAGGCATAGCGCAGCGCAAGCGAGGCAAACAGCATCTCAATGCAGATAAGGAAATTCTGGTAGCCAGCGGCGAGGGTACCAGCCCCCACCCTGGTGCCGTCCACGGCCTGGACCTCAGGAATGACCCCACACCTCTCCAAGATGGCCAGCAGCATTCCTAGAGACAGAGACAACCATTCAGGCCCCATCCTTGGACGGAAGCTGAACCCTGCCAAGGTTCTTACTGAAGCCAAGGGTATGCGGGGGTCGGGGGGAGACTAGCCTTATCCCAGGGCTTCTTTGATACTGACCACATTGGTGGAGGGTGGAGGGGCTGTGGTTGAGAAGGGCTGGGTACCTCAAAGTCAACCTGTTTCTCTCCCAAACATATCCAACTTGGGCCTGGGGATCCCTGGTTTTATGCTGGTAGCTGTGAGGACTGAGGGAGATCTCATGGCCTGCTGGGGGCTTGGTGGGGACCAGGGTTCTGGAAGCTAAGGCTTCCTATTGTTGACAGATCTCACGGTCGACAGGCTCCACTCCAGACTCTGCCAGCTCTGAGCTGAGCAGCAGAGTTATTGACTTTTCGTAAGGTTACAGATGCCGAGGCACACAAGGTTGGCATAGAGGTCAGATCTGAACCCAGGTCCCAGGGATGCCAGCCCTGGCCCCACACCCTTGCCCAGGCTCACGCACCCTGCCAGAAGGAGAGGAAGATGATGGCTTTGATGGTGAGGAACTTGAGCACCGGCTCAAAGGGCCTCAGGAGGTCTCTGGTAGCGAAGTAGAACAGGAACAGAGCATAGAGAGCCAGGCTAACTGAGGCATTGTACACGAGGGTCACATACAGGTAGCCGCTGTGGATGCTGGGTCAGAGGAGGTGCTGGTTAGAATAGTCCCTGTCCCTCATGACATTCTTTTAGCCTGTCCCCTGGCTGGGCACCACAACCCCAGGACAGCTCCATCTAGATCCTCCCTCCAGGGCCTCAGACAGTACCAAAGTGAGTAGTGGCTGGGGCCCGGGGTTACCCCTCAGGAACAGGGCATGGTTCAGGCCCCTCCCCTAGAGCTGTGGCCTGTCCTCTTGGGCACTCCCACAACCTTAGCAATGTCTTTGTTTGTTTTGAGACAGGATCTCATGTAACCCAGGCTGGCCTCAGACTCCTCAGATAGCCAAGGATGACCTCCAGTTTAACCTCCCAAGTGCCGCATGGCAAGTGTGTACCACCACACCTAGTTTATATGAAGTTGGGGATAGAACCCAGATGCTCATGCATGCTCAGTACACACTTTACCAACTGAGCTACAGCCCACAGAGAGGGGGAAGAAGGCCGCTTCAGGAAGGGACCTGCGGGGAGCCCTGCCCCTCACAGCCCCAGTGAGACACCTGCTCATAGTTCCCCTTACTTGAAGTCCCCATCGTGGTATTTGTCGAAAGCCTGGAGGATGATGGTGGTCAAAGCCATGACAGGTTTCACGATGCAGAACTGTAGTGTGGCCTGGGATGGGTGGGGGAAGGGAGTGAGGTTGGGATGGGGTGGGGCGAGGGCATGGGGCCGGGTGGGGTGGGCAGGCCCCCTCACCTGTTTGCAGAAACGTAAGAAAGTGATGGAATAGGACATGCCACGGAGGCAGCAGGTCCCATAGAAGCAGCTGGACCTGCAGATGAGGAAGATGTCATTAAGGTCACTAGGAAGACAACTGGGGGGGGGGGGGGTTCTACAGCGTGGCCTGGCTCGGGCCCCAGCCAGGGCGGGGCCTGTGGGTAGACTCACCGGATAGGTTTGCCACGGATCTCAGCCATGATGGCGCTCTCTCCCCCCAGATATTGGAAGCACAAGGCCAGGAAACTGTAGATAACAAATGCTGCAGGGGGACAGGGGATGACAGTGAGGGTCAGTCACAGAGCCCCTCCGCATGCAGGCGCCACCAGATCCACTCAGCATACCCCAGGAGAGGGAGCGAGCTTACTCAGACTGTGAGTCCCAGGCATCGAGGTTGCCGATTGCGCAACCCCGGAAGCAGGTCCCAGCTGAGACAGGGCACCTTGGGGATGATGGCAGGGGAAGTGTGTGCAGGTAGGTGTGCGTGTGTGAAGCTGAGGGTCCCCGCTGAGCTCCCGCAGGCCCAGCCTGGAGTATCACCTTCGTAGCAGTCTCGCACAGAGTCGAAGTAGACGTAGTATGGATGGCCCCCGAGGAGGAGGAGGCTGAGCCATGAGTCGAAGGCGTAGATGGGCACAATGAACAGGAGGCGGATGACGAAGCGCTGCTCTTGTGGGACGGTGTAGGAACGCAGGTGCGAGTAGATCTGTGGCAGAAGAGTTTCCGTGGTGCCTCTGTCCCTGCTCCTGGCCCTGTCGTCCACCACATGGGTGCCAGCCCGAATACAAGAGGAACCGGAGCCAGGCAGAGCTCCAGGCTGCCCTCCCTCTCCTACACTGCCTAATGCTCCATAGAGCACAGGATTAGTACGGGGAGTGGAAGCCATCAGACAGAGGTTGTAGCATATATATTAGAGGAAGAGTCAAATCTGCTTATGACAGGAGCATCGTGGGTGGGTGTGGTGCAAGACCAGTTTAGCATCCCTGGCTCCAACTAGAAAGTAGGACTGGGGAGGTGGCTCAGTTAGCAAAATGCTTGCTTTGCAAGCATAAGGACCTGAGTTCAAGCCAGCACTCATGGACAAAAAAACTAGATACAGTGATGCATGCCTGTAATCCCAGTGCTGGGGAGGCAGAGACAGCTGGCTCTCTAGAACTCACTGGTCAGCCAGTACAGCCAAATCAGGGAACTCCAGGTATCAGTGAGAGACTGTCCCTTAAAAGCAAGATGGATGGTACCTGAGGAATAATACCAGAGGTAGCAGGGCAGAGGCCTGGCTAAGGTAGAGTCCTTACCTAACAAGAGCAAGGCTCTGGATTCAATCCCTAGGACATGCTCCCTCAAAATTGAATACATGCTTAATATATACAAATATATATTAATTTTTTTTTCTTTTCAGTATAGCCTGACTCACTATGTAGCCCTGGCTGATCAGAAGGCTAGCCTTGAACGAATTGAGATCTGCCTGCCTCTGCTTCCCAAATGCTGGGATTAAAGGTGTTAGCCACAGCTAGACTTTATTATTGAATGTAACCCAAAGTCTTGCACAGACTAAGTGAGTGGTTTCCCACGGAACCATATCTTCATATCTTCAGCTCTTTGAAACAGTATCAGTGGGCACAGAGTGTGGCTTAGTGGGAAAGCACTTGTCTAGCATGGGTGAAGTCCCAGGTTCAATCCCCAGTACCACCAAGAAAAAGAGCATTTGCAATTAACAAATAAAAACACTATGCATCTATAGCATCTGCACTGAGGATATGATGTGTGGGTGTCTATGGAGGCCAGAAGAGGGTGTCAGATCCCCTGCAGCGGGAGTTACAGACAGTTGAGTCTGCGGGCGCTTGGTCCTCTGCGAGAGCCTCAAGTACTCTTACCTGCTGAGCCATCTCCCAGCCCGTCCTTAGGGGATCTGCAGGCACACGCTCTACCACTGAGCCACACTGCTAGTGCTTGTTCCACTCTTGAGAGGAGGGACAGAAGTGTACCTTCCAGGGTCATTCCTCAGACACCACGCTCATACTGTGGGATGAGATCTCGCACTGAACCTGGAGCTCATTGATTTGACTCAACTCACAGCGGGCTGGTTAGTTTCAGGGATCTGATTGGTCACCCCTCCTTGAGGTTATAGATGTGTCCTGCTCTGCCTGGCATATCTTTTGTGGATCCCAGAGATGGAGCTCTGGTCCCCAAGCTTGTCTCCTGTTTTGACAGACACATAAAAGGCTGAGACCAGCCAACCTCATGTCTTACTTGCTTCTGTGACATGGTGTAAAATCTTAAAAAAAAAAAATCACTGTTGTTGCTTTTGAGAGAGAGTCACACTATGTAGCCCAGGCTGGCCTTGAATGCATGATCCTTCTGCCTCAGCCTCCCCCAGTGGTGAAGTGATAAGTCTGTCTGTCACACTAAGCCTAAAATTCATTCCTTAGGCATTTTCAAACCTGTAACGTATTTTGATGCCCTGTGGGGTCATCTTGAAGAACATTCCAGAAGTCAGGACGCTCATTTACTCATCCAACAAGATTTTCCTAGGTCCTGCTAAGCGTCAGAACTCAGTAAGGAGACCTAAATGTCCCCTGTGGCACAGGCAGGCTCTCAACTTGGGGACTGTGGAAGGCCTCTTGCTCTTTGACCCCTTCTAGGAATCTGTCCCTTTACAGAAATAAAGAGGGGAAAAAAAAACTGTGTGCAAAGAGGTTCATCACAGTGAACCCCAGTAACGACTGCTGGGGCTGTGCTCACCATGGGAGGCCAGGCTCACCCCATAGAGCCTATGTGTGGAGGAACACTATATAGTCAGTAAGAACGAGGTTCCAGTGCACAGCTCTATGGGAAATCCTCTGACAAGACGAGGTACCTGAGGTCAGACTAGGAAACCGAGCAGGTTCAAGCGTCATCTCTGCCTAACGAAAAAGGAAGGAAAGGACTGGGGATGTGTTTCAGTCGGTAGAGTGCCTGCCGAGCACAAAGGAAGCCCTGGGCTTCATCCTCAGCTCCACATCAACCGGGAGGTGTGTGATGCACACCTGTAATTTCAGAACTTGGGAAATGGAAGCAGGAAGATCAGGAGTTCAAGGTTATCCTCTGCTACATAGGGAGTTTGAGGCCGGCCATCCTGGCCTACAAGATGCTGTCACAAACAAACAAAACAAAACAAAACAAAACAAAACAAACAAACAACAACAAAAAAAAGCAATCCAGGAAGGTGATTATGCTGTTCGTCTTAAAGTTTTCTGAATTGTCTGTATTTTTTTCTACCAGAAACAGAACAGGAACCTGCCCCACCCCCACCCCCGGTTCCAGGTACAGAACCCAGGACCTTGTGTGCCCTCAGCCAGCTCTCTACTTCTGAGCCATTCTTTTTCCTTTGTTTTATCTGGGGGTAGGGGGGTCTCACTAGCTGTTCAGGCTGGTCTTGAACACAGTGTGGACTCCATGGAGGCCTTCACTTGTGATCCTCTCGTGTCAGCCTGTGCCCCTAAGCCCCTCTGTACAGAGTCTCTAAGGAAGTAGGCTGGGAGTTGGGTGCCTCCTCCTGGTTCCAGGCCACTGTGAGGAAGACTCTTCTTAGGGAGGTGCCCTGCGGGGCACGGAGGTCATGCTGTGTGTGTGCATGGGCCCCAGTGGGGTGCGAAGGCTGCTGGCGTCAGAGACCAGCTCCTTATCAATCCCTTCCTCCCTCCCCATCCGCTGAGTGAGGGAGGGCAGAACGTGACCAGCCAGCGGGAGACCTTTCCCAGGCTAGCACCGCCTGGCTGGTGACCTTGACAACTTGCTGCCCTCTCTTGCCTCAGTTTCTCCATTTGTAAATGGAGGTGTTGATCCCCTCTCTTTGCCAGCCCCTACCCCTCCCAGAGGTCATCTTGCTGATCCTAACACGTGGTTGACACCTGCCTGGCCTGCCCTCAGGGCCAGCTCTGTATCCTGGTTACTGAGGCACACCTGGCCAGGTACCAGTCAGCAGGTGGCTGTCACAGGCAGAGGTGTTTGCTTAGTTCCTGCACACAGCTTACCTACTGACTCAGACCCTCCCCTGGTGCCAAATGGGTGTTCCAAAGGGCCTGAGGCTTTCAGCTCCCAACACCAAACTCCAAGTCCTCAGCTCTCTGACTCCAGCTCCCCAACTGCTCCCATATTCCGGCTGCCCATCTTCTCTCCCAGCTCCCCACTTTGCCTGCCCAGCCCCCAGCCCCAGCTTCTTACTTCAATACTCTCCTAGTTCCAACCCCTACCACTCGGTTCACTGCCCTCAGTACCCTTCATTGCCCGTTTCCCATTCTTCTCAGTCCCCACTCTCCTAGCTCCTTCCCCCATCTTCCTGGCCCTCCTCCCCAAAGTCCCGATGTCTGGCTTGAGATTCTCTATATAGAGCAAAGCCCAAGCCCTGGCCATTCCTGGAGGGAAAGGGCCCTTTCTCTCTCTTCCAACTGTGTGAGCCTGGGGAAGCCCCCAGTCATCTCGGAGTCTTAGTGTTCTTGTCTGTGACCCTGGGACCAATCACTGACCTTGGTGAGCAGAGTGAGAGGCCTCAGATATGACTGGGGGTGCCCACCCAGCAAAGTACCCTCTGTCTGGCAGAGACCTCCCACCTTAGGTTTGGCCCCCTGCATGTAAGCCCTGGACAAGGGCCATAGACGGACATCATGCCTGGAGTGTCCAGTACTGGAGGCTGTCACTGGAGGTTCCATGATCCCAGTATCTGTCCATGGGGGTCCATCTGAGCCGTGCCAGGTCCCATAGAGACTGTGAGCCCAGTAGGGTTTTGGGGTGCTTACCTGGTGGCAGGTTAGGAGCAGAGCAGTCCATACAAACACGCCTGACACGCCTCGGGCCAATGCACTGGTGAGGAAGAGCTGGGGGGGCCCCTGTGAGCCGTTGTCCACGCGCTCCATCTGCGGCCCGGCTGCCACCGTGGGCATTGTCGGAGGGGGGCTGGGTGGAAGCCAGGTCGCTGACACCAGGGGAGCTCCGGCTGTTTTCAAAAAGCCTGATGCATTCCTCATCTGCAGAAGCCAGCAGAGGAGTGAGCAGCCAGGGCAGCCCCCTCCCCTCCGTGAGAGTGTGAGGGGCAGGAGGTGGGGCAGGAGATGGGCAAGGCCATGTGGGTGTCGCCCAGGGGCCAGCTCTGCCCACAGCCGTTTCTGCCTGCCTGGCTACCATCCCTAGCACCCCGCCCATATCCACAGAAGCTTCCTTGGGGGCCCACCGTGGCCACCTGTCCCCTTTGTGGGAGTCTGCCCTTTCCCATCTACTCTCCTGACTCTGGGTAGCGTGGGATCCCACTTGAAGGACAAGGGACCTGGCCGCTTTGCTGCCTGGGGCTCAGATCCTGGGTGGATGTTCTGGGAGGAAGCCCCCTCAGGTTCCTTTGTGCTCTGGGCTCACTGACAGCTACTTCCTGGGAGTCAAAGACTGTTTCTAACCAGGTGGCGATGGCACGCACCTGTAATCCTAGTATTGAGGCAGGCTGGCTGCAACTATAAAGCCAGCCTGAGTAACTACCTAGTTACTCAGTTTCAAAATAGAAAAAAAAATCTCCAAACTCAAATTCAAAGCAAACAACAAACCCGAAACTTGTCTGGGAAGTGGGGATCCACCTGCCTGGGACATTTGGGAGGGATAGCCAGTAATCATACCTTCAGGCAGGAGAAGGTGCTCCACCCCCACCTCCGGTGCCAGTCCGCCCCCACCCGACTCTTGCTTGCCTTTGACTCTGGCCACTCTTTAGGGTCTCCACAAGCTCCAGCAGCAAGCAGTAGCGCCTGTGCCAGCTGGGAGCCAATAGCCTTGGGCCTCTTTCCTACCCTCAGTTGTCTGTCACGGGGGCGGGAGCCTACCTCGGTGAGCAGGAAGCTCTTTGGCCCAGGCCTGAGAGGCCTTGCCTCGTGGGAAGCCTGGCTGGTCATTCACGCGGCCACATGGCCCCCACTGGAGGCCAAGCTTCGGTTTGGGGTAAAGCCGTGGAAGGTAGCGCTAGGCCAGGGAAGGTACACAGGGCCTCACCTGGCCAATGACCCACCTGGGCTTCGGGCTGAGGGAGGGGCAAAGGGAGGAGGAGCTAAGGCTTGTCCCCGCCCCTGTTGACACTCTATCCCTCTGGGGCTGTTTGCTCAGCAGCAGCTGGCTTCCAGGAACGGCCTGGCTGGCAGGTACCTTCACCTGCTGGCACCAGGTTGTCAGGCAGTTGAGCAGGCAGGGACAGGAGAGAAGAGCGTGCGTGAGCTGGGCCAGCTGGAGGAAGAAGGCCATGGGGATTCAGGGACATAGAACTTCTTTTTTGAGTGGTGAGAAAGGTCTAGAACTAGACAAAGTGGAGGCTGCCTATTGTGGGCATCCCTACTACTCCCAGAATTGTGCGCTTAAAACTGGGCTGTGCTGAGGATGCGGCTTAGTTAGTGGAGGGCTGGCCTAGCATGCATGAAGCTCAAGGTTCCACCCCCTGTGTCTCCTAAACCAGGCACGATGGTACCTGACTGTTTCCCCAGCACTTCTGAGGTAAAGGCAGAAGGATTAGAAATTCAAGGTCATTCTTGCTACAAACTGCTTTAGGCTAAACTGGACTTTGAAATCCTGTCCCACTGAATCCATCACTATACATATTCGTGAATGAATATACAAATGAGTGAAAAAATAAAAATGGGTAAATTTAATCAAACCTCATGGCACAGGCCTGTCATCCCAGCTACTTCAGAATCTGAGGCAGCACTGGTAATCCAAGACCAGCTAAGGATACAGAGTGAATTCAAGCTGCTTGGGCAGCTTAGGGAGACCCTATCTAAAAATAAAATGTAAAAAGTGTGCTACATTAGTTCATCTTTAGACTGTCTTCCTAGAATCCACCAGTGAGGGACTGGGGGTATGACTCAGTGGTAGAGCCCCTGCCTAGAGTCCCCCAGTGAGGGTCTGGGGCGTGGTTCAGTGGTAGAGCACCTGCCTAGAATCCCCCAGTGAGGGGCTGGGGCGTGGCTCAGTGGTAGAGCCCCTGCCTAGAATCACCCAGTGAGGGGCTGGGGTGTGGCTCAGTGGTAGAACACCTGCCTAGAATCCCTACCATGTGACATGCCTGTGGAAAGAGGCTCACCTGCTCTGGCTCCTGGAGTAGGTGGGGGCTCTGGCCATATCTCAGGCCTGTTCTGGATTCATATGGGCTTTACCACTGTGGGTGTGTTATGATGTCATCCATCCGGTCCTTTGTGCCACCTTACCCTACTGATGACTTAGACATGGCTTCAGGCTACTTTCCTTTTGGACTTGAGACACAGACACTGGAGGCTTAGCACGTGTCTGGGATACTCCAGAAGTACACAGCTGTACAAAGCTGAGATCTGCCAACCCCACGATCCCTTACAATCCATGTCTTCTCACCCGGTACTTCCCCTGATAGCACATGCCATGGGAGTCATTCCCTGACTGCTTAGGCCACCTCTGTCCCTGACATACAGGCCCTGGATCATGGCTTCTGCACCCTCACCTCCCAGATACTGATGTCCCGGCCTTCTGTCACGCCTAGCAATGTTTCCACATCCCATTGCTAAAAACTTTCATCTGAGATCTGTTTGGGTGCTTATCTGTCCTCCTTGTTAGGAGTTTTGGGAACCTGACGCTGTACATCCTTGATTTGGCTAGGACTGGGGACCTTCTTTGCTGCCTGGCTCTGGAACAAGGGAAGGGTTTGCCAAATGATTCGCCTGGAGAGGGAGTCCATAGTCTAGACAGAGGACCACATTCCGGGAGCTGAAGAAGGAGGGGGCGCTGCTGTGCTGAGCTCAGATACAACTGGAGAAGTGAGGAGTCACAGGGGAAGGCAGCAAGAGAGAGGCTAGCTAGCTTCTTGTTCCTGCTTCTTCACACACTGCTGAGTGAGGCCTCACTAGAGGCCGGTATCAGAGGCCACACTCACAGAGGGCTGGACCCTGGCCACACCCATATGAGGATAGTCCCCACTAGCCTACTGTTCACTGTGACCAGGACACTAGACTCCTGGCCAATCCAGCAGACTGTACTGAGAGAACTGGGGGTGAGGGCTTAGGAGAGCCGCTCTGCCTGTTCCTCGCTTCCACCCCTGTCCCATGGCCTCCACCTCTGATGCAGGCTGAGGTTTCCACACTCGGCTTCAGGCTGGTCTTTGGTAAGTCTCTAGCTGGCCATCTGGTCTCTCTAGAGTCGGGGTCAGGGTTTATTTGCCCCGGGGTAAGTAACCTGCTCGTAGAACTCGCTGGCTCAGCTGACACGTCCAGGGCCGGCCCTGCAGGGTGGGCAGTATAATTTTGGCATCCAGTCGCCCCAGGCTGATCTCCACACCCTCTGGATCCCCTGCTAGTGTTCACTGGGTCTCGGGCAGCCCTTGTCAGTGAGGTTTGTTTCTGTCAGCGCTCTGGCCCTGAGCCAGCTAGCACCCACACCTGAGGCGTGGCAGGGCGGAGATGAAGCCAAGAGTTCCCTATGGGTCAAGGTGCTCAGGTAGGTTGAGAGGCCCTGGGTATCTCTCTTTGCCGGTTCCAGGAAGTCTGGGTGATGAGTCCAGATTGCTGGCCTTCCGTGTTGGGGATCCCCACAGCCACCCCATCTCTCTGCCTGTGCCTCCTCCAGCTGAGACTTCCAGCATACCTGCCTTGGAGTCTAGAATGCGTATGTAGAGCCTTCTGGTGGCCGAGATGTGGCCCCTCACTTGGATAGATGCAGCCTTGAGAAAGGTGGGGCCAGACAAGTCAACATGACCAAGCCTTGCCTCAGTTTCCCCAGGCTATTTATCTTTCTGTTTATGGTTTCACAGAGGATCTGGACACTCAGCTGGGGACTCGGGTTGCTAATCTCAGGTGGCTACAGGTTCTCTTACCAGGCCAGTGAGGACCTGGGACTCAGTGCCAGCTCAGCTGCCTTGGTGTCAGCTGAAGCACAGGTAGATCCCTGACTTTCATCCATGGGGATGACTAGGGTCTGCTTGTGCCCAAAGTCCCTAGATCCCATGGTGGGCCATCCCCGTGATGTCTGCCAACTGTGCCCCCTCCCTGCTCCTGTACCCACCTCCCTCTCTAGACCCGACTCTTTAGTCTTCAGAGAATCTGTCAGGGCCTGTCCAGGCTTGACATTGCCCCACAGTCAGATGCCAGACTTGGGTGTGGACCTGGGGGCCCTTCCACTTGGAGATGGGCAAAGCCTTGCCCCGGTCCTGAGACCCTTCGTAGTTAAGTAGGGAGTCTGGACACAGGTGGAGAAGATTGGTTAGGGGATGTGATTCTCTGATTCTTGGCAGCAAGTGTGTCCCCACCTTGCTGGTGTCGTGGGGCTGCTGCTTGGACACCATTCTATTCCTGGGCCAGCCCCACACGCATGCACACTCACTCACACCCACACAGCTCACCTCCATGGTGGCTCTGGGCAGCTGGCAGGGCCCACTGGGCTGGTGCGTTGCTTTGGTTTCTCAGGACACACTTTGCAGTTTCCGAACCTGAGGAGGTCCCTCCTCAGTGTGGTCTCCAGCTCTCTGTTGTCCTTCTTCTCAGCAACCAGGGAAGCCCAGGCCCCTTGAATACCCTTGCTGCTTCCCGAGCATGGCTTCTCGGAGGCCCTGAAACTCCTCCCAGTCCTGCCTGGCCTGCCTTGCCTGCCCAACAGCCTTGTAGGAACACACCCTTCACCAGGCCACACCCTCTGTCATCCTGGATTCTGGGACCAACCTTTCTTTCCCTGTCCTGGTCAATAGAGTCCACAGATTGAGTCCTTAGAGCTGCGATGGATAGACAGGCTTGTGACCATGAACCCAGTGGGAGCTGGTCTCCACATCCAACATGGGTTCTCAGGTAGGGTCATGATGCCAGTGACATGTATGGACCGAAGGGCAAGGATGACTTCCAGCTTCTCCATCTATCCACACAGCTCCCTCTCCTTTCATCTCTGAAGCACCTGAAGGCAGACATCACCTCTAACCTCTGATCAAGGTCACTGACATCTGTCCCAGGATGCTGGCATCAGGAGACACAGGCTAAGTAAGTGCCTGCCATGGTTGTCCAAGGGCTTTGAAAGTGGGTGGGTCAGGGCGCTCCCAGAATCTTGGGGATTGGGACCAGCAAGGTGGCTCAGGAAACAAAAGGGTGCTTGCCACCAAGCCTGATGACCTGAGTTTGATCCTTAGGGCCTGCATGGTAGAAGGAAAAACTTTACTTCCTCACTATCCCCCACATGTATGCAATGGGACATGCATGCCCACACAAACAAATTAAAAAAAAAAAAACTCGTTTGTCCTATATCTTTGGTAAGGCTTTGGGGAGTTGCAGTTGGGCCCTAGTTGTGAGGGATGCCCAATGCTTCTCATGGATGGTAGGTACCACCGAATCTTTTTATTGAGGCTCTCTCCCCATCTCCCTGCTTCTTCCTATCACCCTTGACTTCATTTGTGTTCAGCCCTCCATCATGATGTTGGCAGTCTGTCACGCCCCACGCTATTGTGTCTCTGTGGTGGGGCTGGGTTCAGGGCTCCATGAAGCCTTAGGTACCGTGTCCACTCTGCAGTGGGCTCTGAGGCCCGGGACGTAGTTCTTAAGCTGTGTTACTTGGGCTTGTATCTAGAGATTTCTGCCACTTGAGCAGGGCTCTGGGGTCTTCCAGCTTGTGATCCTTGTAGAATCTATTTATTCCCACTTTCAGCCGAGCCTAGCATTCTTGACCCTACAGACAAGCCCCGATGTGTGATGGCAAACTGTAAGTCATAGCGGTAATGCCCCTGCAGTCACCCTGTGCATCATGTAGGCTCCTGACCTCCCTCACCGTAGGCCCCTGCTCCAGTTGCTCACTTAGGGCTTGTCTTTTTCTCTTTTGGTATGTGGCACGCAAGCACTTTGGGCAACTGCTTCATCTGCCTGGCTTTTCCATGGGTTCTGGAGATCTTAACTCCAGCCCTCAAGCTTGGTAAGCCTTTCATCCCAGCTCTGGGCCTCTTGATTTCCCAGTCCTCAACCTCTAGCCAGGACAGTTCACTGGCTTGCCCGTGTGCTGCTTACTTGGTTAAAGGGAGCAAGGTAGGGCTTGGTCAAGCTCCTGGAAAGGCTCCTGCAGGGTCCCCTGAGGATATATACCTTCCTAGGCCTCCCTTGACCTCTTTAGTGCCGCCACTGACTGAGCGAGAGCACATTGTCCTAGCCACTGGGGAGGCTGCTTGCTCTCAGGAGAAAACTGCTAACCGACCTCATGGTGGCGAAGGCATGGCCCTTAGGGGGCAGCCTGGCCCGTGGCGCGTGACAGGCAGAGCAATCCATGTTTATGTGGGCTAGGAGTTGATTACCGATCTACCCCAGGTGTGTGCCACGTGCAGCCCCTGCGTCCACAGAAATACTTTCCACCCAGAAATTGCTGGTGCTGTGGATCTCTTCGGGGTGACGTGGGTCCCTCCTGGGTTACGGTAGCAGCAGAGCACAGAGGACACTCTGGCCAGGTCCCTTCTCCAGTAGAGCCTTGGCTGACTTACACAGCAGATTTGGGCCAGGGGCACTGGCTTAGATGATTAAGGCATTTGTTATGGGCCTGTGTTTTATGGCTACCAGACAGCTCCAGACAGCTTCAAGCAGCTGTAAATACTGCCCAGCTTGGAGAGGGAGCCGGTTCAATTACAGGTCAGTTTCAGTACCCCTTCCCAAGCAGGCAGCCTCTAGCCCTGCAGACAAAGTGAATGAAGCTACCTTTACGCTCCCAGCTATCACTTATGTGGAATACACTCCGCCACTTGCGTTTTTGGGTTGGTGGAGGGCCCAAGGAGATGACTGGAAAGGAAACGGCTTGACCCAGGACCAGAAGACTGGAAGCAAAACCAGCATCCCTGAGCCTTATTGGTGGATGGAGCTGACATTGATGAATGAGCTGTTAAAGGACCTGGTGGCTGGGTGCTCCATCTGGCTCGAATCCCAGCTCTTTTACCCAGGAGCAGCTGCTGCATAGCATCTCTGGGGCACAGGTGTTGGGAAAAGGTTGGCGAAGGGTAATGGGTCACCCAATGGGCCATGTGAGTTGTCTGCCTAGGGACCAAATCAGAAAACCAAAGCCATAAGCCAGAACTTGGACCTGGCCTTGAGCTCCACCCAGGGTGCTCTCTATCTGCTAAGGCAAGGAAGCTGGGGCTTGCTGATTATTATCCATCTGAATAATCACAGGGCGATACCAAACAGAGACCTTTGGCCAGTGCTACCACCCTGCCGGGCTCACCTGAGCATGCCCTGCCCTGGCTGGCTCTACCAGCTGTTTGTGTTCCACACCAGTCCTTCTCCTTCGTGGCCTGTGAGATTTCTGACGGCCCATACTCTCCAGAGGCTGGTGGCAACTGGGAGGATGGGGAAGAGGTTACAGAGGGGATGCCTGGTTGGCAAGTGCCAGACCCCACCGTCAGTCTACCCAGGGGACATAAAGGAGAGGGGAAACCAGGGTCTGGGGAAGGATGGACAAAGGGCAAAGTTGTGTGGGAGAGCTGCCTGCCAGGGATGGGGGTGCAAGCACGGGGCTCTCAGAGGCTTTGGGACATCCCTGTTATAGGCGGTAACACCTTCCAGAAGTTGGGCACAACTCCCCACTCCCACCCCAGCTGAGCTGGTTTCAGCCTACAGCTCTCCCCAGCTATCCCTAGACCTGCCCAAGCATCCAGACTTGAGGCTAGCTAGTCCTAACTCATTCTAAGTGAAAGTGGCCACCGAAGCTCACCACCCATCCCCGGACCTGGCAGGCACTCCTGAACCTTTGGCTCAGAGGCCAAGTCAGCAATCCCGTCCTTGTTTCCTGAGCACACACGTGATATCCTGGGTCCCTGAAAAGGCACTGGCTTGCATTCCATCCTGGATTTCTACCTGGCTTCTCTGTGGCCTCTTTTCCTCTGGTGACCGTCAGAATGTCATAGCAGATTCCCTATTGGAATCCCCACTCAGCTGTGATCAGAGACCCCACCTCCTGCCCATCTCCTCCCATGGCAGGAGACCCAGGGGTCCCAGGATGCCAATCTTCAGAGGAATGGGCACCAACAGGCCAACTCTGGGCATCAGTGCCAACCTAATGTCCAGGCCTAATATTGGGCTCTCAATCCTTGCAGTGAGCCTTGGAAGTATTTCTAATGGCATATTCCAACTTGATTCAGACTTCCTCCTCTCTGAGCTCAGGATGGCTCACCTGCGCCCCCTACTTCCCCCATGGATTTCCCATCCAGCCCATCTTTAGGGACTCCACCTGCACGGCCACCCTTGCTCTGCTTGTCACATGTCCAGTCTCTGCACACGCTTGTCCCTCACTATATTATGTAATTTGAGGCTCTGGCCCATGCCCCCACATGCCTGGGATCTACCTCACACGCCCACGTCAGCAACCATACACTGTGCTTTTGCCAAACAGGAGGTTTTCCTTACAGTGTCCTGAAGTGAACCTTGACACGTGGCCATAATGTCTCAGAATTATTGACAAGGCTATCCAAGTATTTTAGATTTATTTTTGATAAAAAAAAAAGTCTCCCCACAGGTGCTGCTGCACAGTGAGGGCTGCCAGTCCCTAAAATGGGTGATTTCCACTCAGCAGATGCCTCTGTTGCATCTCAGAACGGTTCCGGTGCACCAGACAGAACACGGTAGCCACACAGGGCGAGTCCCCTGAGATCTGAATGTTGTTCCCAGCTTCAAGGGCTAAAGCCAGGGAATGAGCCTCCGCCTGACTGTCCTGGTGCTGGGAAGATGGGTCTCAGAGACCCTGCAGAGCGTCCACTGGATCCGACTGTCACGTACTGCTGACTTCAGGTCACCACACCTGGCACATCCGGATCACCTCCTTCAAGGCTTTCAGCCCCTCCATGCTCTTGTCCTTCACAGCCATGGCCAGGAGGACGGCTCTGTTTCCTGCTTCTTGAGACACAAATGCTACCAGGTTCTTCGCAAAGACATGGATGAGTGGCTGGGGAGGGGAGAAGACAGGAAACCTTATTTTTATTGTTATTCTTCTTAAAGACAGGTTGTCAATTTCTGTAGCCCAGGCTAGCCTGGAAGTCAAATAGCCCAGGTTACTGAATTCAGGGCGATCTTCCTGCCTTAGTTTCCTGGGATTCCAGGCATGTGCTAACATAGTGAGTTTTGTTTGTTTGTTTTTTTAAAGAGTATGTGCATGTTCGTAGGTATGAGGAGGCCTGGAGACAACCCTAGGTATGAGCTATAGAGCACCATCATCTACTATGAGACAGGGTCTCTCATTGACCTGGAATTCTCCAGACTGCATGGCCAGCAAACCCCAGGATCCTTCTGTCTCTGCCATTCCAGCACTGGGAATATCTTTTATTTATTTATTTTTTTGTAAATATTGAGACAGGGTTCAACCTCTTTATGGTTGGAACTTGCTATATAGATGAGGCTGGCCTCGGCCTCCCCAATGCTAGAGTTAAAAGCGCTCATCACCAAGCCGAGTCTCACACTCAAACTCAGGTCATGCTTGCAAGGACTTTAGGAACTGAGCTATTTCCTCGGTCTCCATTTTATTTATTTATTTGTTTGTTTTGTTTATGAAGCAAGAGCTCACTATGTAGCCCTGACTGATCTAGAACTTGCTATGTAGACCAGGGCCTACTATCATCTCCTAAGTGTCAAGATTAAAGATGTGTACTGATATACATGGCTATTTAGTCTCAGTCTCTCTCTCTCTCTATGTTTTGTTATGTTTAATTTTTCTATGTTAAAATTAAAAATCTTCCTTTTTATTTTTTTAAAAAATGATTTAACTTTATTTTATATACATTGTTGTGAAGATGTCAGATCCCCTGGAACTGGAGTTACAGACAGTTGTGAGCTGCCATGTGGGTGCTGGGAATTGAACCCAGGTCCTCTGAAGAACAGCCAGTGCTCCTAAACACTGAGTCACCTCTCCAGCCCCATCTTCCTTTTTATTAAGACAGAAATGGGGAGATGATGCGGGATTCCCCTCTGTATGCTATGAATGTTTTATTACCATCGGTTATTAAAGAAACTATTTCGGCCAATGGCTTAAGAGAGAAAAGCCAGGCGGGAAATCTGAACAGACACAGAAAGTAGGCGGAGTCAAGGAGATGCCATGTAGCTGCAGAAGGAGTAACATGCCTGCACTGGTAAGCCACAGCCTAGTGGCGATACATAGATTAACAGAAATGGGTTATTTTAAGATGTAGGAGTTAGTTAATAAGAAACCTGAGCTAATAGGCCAAACAGTGTTTTAAAATACAGTTTCTGTGCGATTATTTTGGGTTTGGGTGGCCAGGAAACGAACGAGCAGCCTTTGTCTACGTGTGTGTGTGTGTGTGTGTGTGTGTGTGTCTTTTATGTGTGAGAGAATGAGAGTACAACTTGTGGCAGCTAACTCTCTCCATTCACTGTGGGTTCAGGGGACTGAACACAGGCTTGCAAGCCAAGTGCTTTACCCCCAGGCTCTCTCATAGCTCCCTGCCTTTTGAACAAAGGGTCTCATATAGCCCATGCTGGCCTTATGGAGCTGGGAATGAAACTGAACTCCTGGCCCAGTGGTGGTGGCACACACATTTAATCCCAGGATCTGGGAGGCAGAGGCAGGTGGATCTCTACAAGTTTGAGTCCAGCCTGGTCTACAGAGGGAGTTCCAGGACAGCCAGGGCTATGCAGAGAACCCTGTCTCAGAAAACAAAACAAAACAAACAAACAAAACAAACCCTGTTTTGAGACAGGGTTTCTCTGTGTAGCCCTGGCTGTCCTGGAACTCCCCCTGTAGACCAGGACAACTCAGAATTCACCTGCCTCTACCTCCCAAGTGCTGAGTGCTGGAATATAAGGCATTTGCCACCACTGCCCTGCTGTATGTATGTGTGTGTGTGTGTATATGTATGTGTGTGTGTGTGTGTATGGACATTTTGCCTGCCTGTATGAGTGTGGACCATGTGTGTGCAGTGTCTACAGAGGAGGGTGCTGGATCCTCTAGGACTGAAGTTATGGATGGCTATGAGCCACCATGTGGGTGTTGGGAATTGAACCCAGGTTCTCTGGAAGAACAGTCAGTGTTCTTATCGGCTGAGCCATCTCTCCAGCCCTCGTTTTTGTTTCTTCTTGAGGGAGGGGGGAAGGGTCTATCCCTAGCTGGCCTTGAACTCACCACACAGCTCAGTCTGATCACAAACTCGTAGCAACCGTTCTGCTCCAGTCTCCCAAGGGAGGAGTACAGGCACGCACAACCACACGACTCAAACACTATTTTTCTGATGCTCTCCTTAAGTACCCATCAGGGACCCAGACCAGCTTCCCACACCTTCCCTAAATCACCTCCAGGGACACCAAAGCCACAGTGATTCAGAGCGCAGAGTGGACCGCACACGGCAGACATAGCCAACTGCTGACGAGGCATCGTTAAGATTTTCTCTCGGTGCCTCTGGGTACCATCTCTGTGGTTACCCCTAACCCAGACAGACACGCCTGCAGAGGGGATTGCTGTCAAGACTCAAGAAGCAGACATACACATAAAGCCTTCATTAGCATAAAGCCACACAATGGGGTCAAATTGAGGAGATGGCTGTGTCACAAAATCAATACCTCCACTGAGTGTTGGGTAAAATGCTGACACGCCAGGAAAGCATCATTAGGGGCAGCCAGGGCACCCTCAGATCTGAAAGGTCCTGGAGAACGCCGATTGTGTCCTTGGGTGCGTACAGAGGGGCGTCTATCAGACACCCCATATCCTTCTGGACAAATGATTCCCAGAAAAAGATTGTTCTCCCAACCCCTTTACCTCGTCCTTCCCGAGGAGGACTTTTGTGGTTAGTACTGGCTTGGTGATGTCATTGGCCACGTTGCTGGGCTCCAAGGAGACTAGCGTACCCATCTTCCCAAACTGGGTCACCACAACCAGGATGTGGCTGCTGAAGGCCGTGCAGATCACCTGGGTGGGCACACCGCATACCACTTCTGTCTTCTGTTTAGATACTACCAATGGTTTGTCTTCCATGGTTGTGTTCTTCAGTGGGAGCTTCAGTCATAAAAGAAAGAAATAGGGGAGGGAGCAGTCAGTCAGGTACTACCTGGAGCTCCAAAGCAGAAATGCCAAGCAAGCCATTTCAAGTTGCAAGTACATGCCTGTAATCCCTGCACAAGGGAGACCGAGGCAGGAGGACCCCAAGTTCGAGGTCAGCCTGGGTTACATGGGAGAGACACTATCTTAATACCCTGCCCCGACTCAAAACCGAGTGTGCGCATGCTCAGATAGGCTTCTATTAGTGTCTGTCCAGCCACACTGCCTGCGATTACAACCCAGTGCTCTCCCCGCTGTCACCTACTTGTAGATACCAGGGAGAAAGGAAACTACCGAGCTCACCGGGAACCCCGACCCCGCAGGGCTGGGGACGGTTGGGGCACTACCGACTGCAGCCGGGCCCGAAACCGGCAGCAACCAGCGACCACCGTATCAACCACACGAAAAACAAAAGTCCGGGAACAGCGGAGCCAGCTCACACTTAGCAAACGCGCGAGCAGAGAACTTCCGGTTCCGGTCTTTGGTCCGGTCCGTGGTTCGCCTCAATCCCAGAGCCTTAGGTTCCGCGTTGCTACGGAGCCCGCCAGACTTCGTGATTAAAGAACTCTGCGCAGTTTATGGGTCTAGAAGCTTCAACACCCTGTGGGCGGCGCTTGAACCCAGTGTAGAGGGCTTCGTGTCCCTGCTGTGGACCCAGCTGTGGGGTGGGATGGCAATAATAGTTACTATTTCTTTTCTTTTTTTCGTTTTTGGGAACAGATTTTCTCTGTGTAGCCTCGACCTCAAGAGATTCCCTTACTTCTGTCTCCCAAGTGCTGGGATTAAAGGCGTGTGCCACCACCGCCCGGTTTATATTTATTTTCATTTGGTGTGTACCTGACTTTGACTCTCTCTCTCTCTCTCTCTCTCTCTCTGTGTGTGTGTGTGTGTGTGTGTGTGTGTGTGTGTGTGTGTGTGTTTGAGACAGAGTATCTCTATGTAGCCCTGTTGTTGTGGAACTCACTATGTAGACCAGGCTGGCTTTGAATTTACAGGGATCTGCCTGCCTCTGCCTTCGGAGTTCTGGGATTATTTTCTTCTTTTTTTGAGACAGGGTCTTAAGTAGCCTAGGTTAGGGCTGGAGAGATGGCTTCCAAAGGTCCTAAATTCAATTCCCAGCAACCACATGGTGGCTCACAACCATCTATAATGAGATCTGGTGCCCTCTTCTGGCCTGCAGGCTTACACGCAGACAGAATATTATATACATAATAAATAAATATTAAATATATATATATTTTTTAAAAAAAGTAGCCTAGGTTAGCCAAGGGTGACCGTGAACTCTTGATCCTCCTGCTTCCACCTTTCAAGTGTTGGGATGACAGGCATGCCCTACCATACATGGTTTAAGTGGTGTGGGGATAAAATCCATGAGTTTGACTGGGTGTTGGTGGCACATGCACTTCAATCCCAGCACTTGGGAGGCAGAGGCAGGCAGATCTCTGTGAGTTTGAGGATAGCCTGGTCTACAGAGCGAGTTCCAGGACAACCACGGTTACAAAGAGTAAACCCTGCTTTGAAAAACCAGAAACCAAACCAAAACAAAAAACTCCAGGAGTTTGTGCAAACTCACCAACTGAGCTAAACCCTAGCCCCCATTTAATCTCTTTCCTCTTTCCCTCTGTTTTTCATTTCTTCCTTCCTTTCTTTTGGGTATTGAGAAACAAGTCTACTCATTTAAATTAGGTATTGCTCACCTGACAGAATTCTTTAAAAAATTAAACAGTATTTATTTGTTTATTTTTTATTTGTGTGAATATTTTTGCCTGCCCAAATGTATGTGTACCATGTGCATGTAGTACCCTCAGAGGCCAGAAGAGGGAGTTGGATTCCCTGGAACTGGAGTTACAGACAGTTGTGGGCAGCCATGTAGATGCTGGGAACCAAACATGGTTCTTTGCAAGAGCAGCAAATGCTCTTAACATTGAGCCATTAAATTAAAAACGATAGATTTCAAATTGAGCGTTTTTCCCTTATTCCTTCTACCTGCCCTTTCCTCCTCTTCCTTCCTGTTAATTCTCTTTGTTTTTCCAAACAAATTCATTTCTTTCACTTAACACACACACACACACACACACACACACACACACACACACGTTTCCTGTGACTATGTAAAATCTAGGAACCGCAAGTGAGAGAATACATACAATATCTGTCTTTCTGAGACTGGCTTAATTTGCTTAACATGATTATCTTCGGTTTCGACTACTTTTAAGAATGACATAACCTCATTTGTGTGTGTGGGTTCCTGTGTGTGGTGGGGGTGCCGGTATGTGTGGAGGTCAGAGGTCAATTTAGTTACTGTTCCTCAGGAGCTGTATTCTCCCCTTCTTTCTGTTCTCTCTCTCTCTCTCTCTCTCTCTCTCTCTCTCTCTCTCTCCCCCCCCCCCCCCCCTTAAGACAGGTTCTCACTATGTAGCCTTGACTGGCCTGGAACTAATTATGCGCACGAAGCTGGTCTCAAACTCAGAGATCCACTCACCTCCGCTGGGGTTAAAGGTGTGCTACCACACCCAGCTATACCTTGTTTCTTGAGTTAGGTAGGATCGCTGGTTCAGAGCTCACTAGTTAGGCTAGGGGGCTGCCAGAAAGCTCAGGGATGTACCTGTCTCCACTTCCCCAGTGCTGGGCTCACAGGCTGGGACAGATCTCCAGGCTTTTAGACATGGCCTCTGGGGATGGAACTTTGGTTTTTGTGTTTGCAAGATGAGAACTTCACTGACAGCCACCTCGCTGGCCTCACCTCATTCTTGATGATGGAGGCTCCACTGTGTATATAATTCATCTTTTCCTTACCCATTCCTTTGTTGCTATAGACCTAGATAATTTCATCTTTTGCAGCTCCCTTAGAAACGCCGTGAGCCCCTTTGAAAACAGAATGCCTGAATGTGTGGTCTGACCCCACGCTGACCTTCCCTGATGTTCAGCTTGATGCTTGACCTGCTTTCCTGATGCTGGATGAGAATACTTGAGCCTGGGCTGCTGACCCTCACCAGGTCCCAGCTAACTTGTGGAACCCCTGGTCCTCACTGAGGCTCAGGGAAAGGCAGGAGAAAGCCCCTGTACTGCAGGGTGAGTTTTGCATCTTAGCCAGAAAGCTCCCCTGCTACCCTGATGGAGATTTCACTGACTGGAAAAGTCTTGGGAAGACACTGGGGGAAAACCGCAACCTTGAGACCCTTTCCCAGAGGCTGATAGCACTGAAAACCCCACCTCGGAAGCCTTTCTGTGCACTCTGCTGACTGCCCCAAAAAAGCCCCGTTTCTGCTTACACACTCAAGTCCTTAGACAGCTCAGGCATTCTTCTCAATAAATTCCCTCCCTCCTTGAGTTAATGACTCTTTATCCAAGCTCCGTCGAGCCGTATGAAGCTTGCTTCCAAAATGATTTCTTGGTGGTGTAAAAGAAAAGGCATGCATACAAAGCATGATGGGAATAGACACAGATCGAGAGGAAACTCGTTTCTGAGCATTCTCGCGGTTGGCACGTGAAGGGGGACGATTAGGGTTTCATGGCACTAATATTCAAGAGGCAAGGAGCGTATAGATTTCTCAGCAAAGTCTTTTTGTCGGTTCTAAATTTAAACACGCATCCGCCCACACACCGCAAAAGCAAATTGCTGGCGTGTTGCTTTGCCTAGAGAAATCTTCAAAAGCTTTTGATCCACCTTGTTATGCGTTCTCTCTCGGAGACAGAGGTCCAGGAACTCTGCCTCCCCAGCACATGGAAGCCCTGGAAACTTACCGATCACCTTTGCAAAAGGAATATTGGAGAGCAAGGTGCATGGCATTCTAGTCACATTGTTGAACAGCTAGGCGAGGGGTTGACTTAGGGCTGGTTTGGGTCTTGATCTGTTGATAAAGAACAAGCCTGAAGGAAAACAGGGGAAAGGTTGTGTCCGGTGGATGTGCTGCTGTTTCAGGCGGGAGACCTTCCCATGGCTTAAATGGATGCCTGGACGGGATTCATACAACCAATCAGGGCTCAGTGGGAAAGACACTTTCAGTGCAAGCGTGAAGACCTGAGTTCAAATACTCGGAACCCATGGAAAAGCCCGCTGAGGTTATATGTGCTTGTGATCCCAGTGCGTTTAGGGAGAGATGGGAGGTGCAGACAGGGACGTTCCTGGAAGCTCAAGGGCCAGCTAGTGCGGTGAACGCAGCAGCCTCAAACAAGGTGGAAAGTGAAGACCAAAGCCCGAGGTTGTCCTCTGACCTCCACATGTGCCATAGCAAGAGAGCCTCCCAGTCACACATCATCACGCACGCGTCAGACTCAGAGATAACTTAACAAAAGGAGGAATCTCATTTCCTGTTTGGTTGTTCTTCAGTGTGTTTTGGAGGGGCTACTGTACTGGAAAGAAAGACTCCCTCCTCCCTTTTTATTTTCGAGACAGGGTCTCACAATGTAGCCCTGTCTGTCCTGGAACTCACTAAGTAGACCAGGCTGGCCTCAAACTCAGAGATCCACCTGCCTTTGCTTCCCTAGTGCTGGAATTAAAGGCGTGTGCCGCTAGGCGGGGCTGGAAAGGAAAACTCTTAAGTGGACACATTTGAAATAGCCCCGTTGTTGGGACTGGAGAGATGGTTTAGTGGTTAGGAGCGCTTGCTGCTCTTGTTCTCCTGAGTGTGGGTCCCAGCACCTACCTAGGGTGGCACACAACCACCTGTACCTCCAGTTCCTGGGAATCTGATGCCCACCGATGGCGTTCACACACACACACACACACACACACACACACACACACACACACACACTAGTAATTAATAATAATAAAATGACAACTGTAATTTGAGTTTGTACTATCTCTTTTGTGCTCAGTAGGGGTCCTAAAGCCTTCAGGAGGTGGAGCCCAGCTGGAGGAAGTGGGTCACAGAGGGTGGGCCTTGAGGCTTTCTAGACAGACCCCGCTTCCCCTTCATGCTCTGCTTCCTGACTATTGGATATATAGAGACTGGCCAGCATCCTGTTTCTGCCACACCTGCCTGCGGCCATGCCGTCTCCCCACCGTGGCCTCTCTTCCTCTGGAGCTGTGACCCAGAATTCCCCTTTCTTCCTTAAGTTGCTTCTGTCTGTGTCTTTTATGAGAGCAACAGAAAGACAAAACAGGACAGCTATGGGATCAGTAGTGCCAGCGTGGGAGCAAGGGCGTTGTTGAGGCCAAGGGCGGTAGGTGCATACCTGTGCCCAGGCCTTGGGAGGCTGAGGCAGGAGGATGGTGAATTTGAGGCTAGCCTGGGCTATATAATGAGACTCTGACTGAAAAGAAAATTGACTTGAGATCCTGGGGATGAGGTCAGGTCTGATCCCCGGCACTGCATGAATGGAGTGTTAGCGGTACATACCTGGCATGCTGGTACTGGGGGTCAAGATAGGAGGATCAGGAGTTGAAAGACAGTGTGGGCCACAAAGTGAGCTCAAGGCTAGCCTGGGATACATGAGATTATGTACAAAAAAAAATAAGATTGAGGTGGCCGGAGAGATGGCTCAACCAT